CACAGCAATGCGAAACCCAGTTACTTGATGGGCTCTGCGCCCCGCGGCGAGCAACATAATCGTCACATCGGGGTTCTCGCCCCCAAAAGACATGGGTACCGCTTCCATTCTCGAGTCGGATGTATTAGTTTCAGTGCACTAATACTGTCATCCTTGTCAAGGAATTTGATCACATTATGCAGCGCGTTGGCGTGCCACGGTGTGGGCGTTCACAAGACTTGTCTACATGCCCAGCATGCGTGTTTGAAGAAAATAGCATGTCTTGTAAAACCAACCGGGTGTTCCAACCCCATATTGGCCCTGCATGCTCAGGAAATGGCTGCCCAAGATGGCCAACAAAATGACTGCCGACCAGAGGAAGACGATCAAAAAGAAGGCCAAGCAGGTGGTCAAGCTTCAACGCAGCAAGAGCTCAACCCGTGTGTGGGTGTCATGTCCTCAGCCTTCTACCCATGGCCAAGTAATCGCTTCCTGATGAGAGCATGTGTTTGTGAGGGCACATTAGCCTATTCCTGGTATGTACGGGTAACTATTCAATCATTTGGCAGTGTGAACCAGTCTTAGAACTTGCTGAAGCAACTTGTGCAACTCCAAAGAGCTCGAGGTTTTGATGCCGCAACACGTGACACGCAATGTAACAAGGCCACTGTGCATGGTTTACAGCCAATTCCCAATGTTGAAACCTTGCTGCAAATCCGGTTCTAAATGTGCAGTTTTGCTGTCAATCTCATTTGTGACTTCGGGATCTTTATCACTGGTAGAATACTGCTAACGGTTTTTATGCGAAGCATGAGGCCTCTCACCGGCACCGGTCATCCCTTTATTAGTGGATTTGTTGGTAAAGGCTCACTTCTGGTGCTCCCTTTCCCAGTCACTCAACGTCGTCATCCGATCGATGCCCCAGCTCAGGTCTGGCACTCCAGAGCTTCGTCTCACACAGGAGTATCCGCGGGCCTTCACGGACAGGATCGCCAAGCTGCACAAAGCCTCAAAGGCGGTGCCACGGATCAACGTGGAGTGGCTGAAGAAGGCTTGCATCGCTACCTGACAGCATATAATTACTCTGTATTGGTGATTTGCCACTGCCCACTTCCTATGAAATGCCATTCCTTTAATTGCGATGGGGGCTTCTGGTTTCCTCGCATTGGAATTGCGTGCATTGGCCGGGCTAGATTGTTGTGTTTGGGGGGGATCTGGATCTGGATTTGTCAAGCATTGTCAACATTTGTTTTTAACTCATTGCTGGACAGTGCTTCAACATTTTTCCCGCAACGTGGTAGTGTTGCTGTGCATGCGATTCGCTGGATCTCGGCTCACTGGACATTCAGCGCACGCCGCAAACACCAGCCGCAAGGCGCAACACGTTCATGCGTACGCCACTCCCTGGCGTGGTTGGCGCCATGCAGCATTTGTACCTGATGCTGATGACACAGCAGCAGCAGATGATGATGACCCTGCAACAGCTCTCCCAGCAAGTGGCCCAGATGAATCAGCAGCTGCAACAGGTCTACCAGATGCAGATGCAGCAGCAAATGCAGGCGCAAATGGCGGTGAACCTGCCGGTGCACCAGGTGCCTTTGCTGAACTGTGCAAGCGGCACCGGGTACGTCGTCTGGTCCCCTGCAAGTGTGGGATTGAATTGAAGATCACTGCCAGCAGTCAACCATGTATTGGAAATAACAAGCTGAAAGGTGTGCGGTAGTAGCGATATAGTTTGCTCACTACTTGTATGTGCGCCATGTTGGGTTAGGTCCATGTCGTCGTGTGGTGGGTCTAGACCTACAGGGAGAGTTCCACACACAGCATGTCGATATCGATGAAGGTGTGAGCCATGTTCTGTTTTTAAGCCGAAACACGATCATTTGCTTGATGGAATCCAACGCACGTTCTCCCTACTTTCCTCTTTAATTCCTCTAGATCTCTCCTGACTCCGGTGTGCCCATACGTATATTACCTTGTTTTCTGGGTCCCTCCACTACAATCCAATGCACCCTGTACAATCCAATGCACCCTACAAGTACTCCCAACTATCATGTTTTATTTGCGCTTTCCCAATGTCACGTCCATCTCCGCCCAACAACTAGGATTGCAAATTAGAGGGTCCACATCAAAACATACAATTTAGCGCCACCAACATGGTCTCTACATTTTGGTGTGCGCTCAGAACAACCAGGCAGGCCTCAACTATAGATACAGCTCCACCAATCCACCCTCCGCCCAACCGAGGACCCATTCGGTGCAGTCGCAGGATCCGGAGGTCGTGACGCCAAAGCACGACGTGACGCATCATCAGGATCACCTCGCAGGAGCGCGTCGCCAACAACGCGCCCGGTTGTGCCACGCACTCCCCCCTGAGCATGCGCTGCATGGACATGCATCACACATATACGCAAACACATGTGTGCACAATAGCATTCGGGTACATTGAAACGCAACATCATGCTGTATGTAACATCATGCTGTATGCACTGTCATGCTGAATGCATCATGCCGCGTGTGCAGCGAATATGCGCTCAAGGGGCGCCTTTTTGCATGTACAGAAAGGGTGCCTGGCCTGTGACAACGGGTTTGGAATCGACCATATTGTTCAATTAGCGCAGCCAGTTGACAAAAAAACCACCACTATAAATTCAGCGGACAAATAAGGCAGTACCCTGGCGGAGCGTTTTGCTTGCGACATCGGACATCGGGCGAAAAGAGCCGGCCTTGCTGCGGGTGAGGTTGATCAACATTAACATACCTAGGCGTGTGCAACGGGGTGCAGTGACAGTGTATGCAACATCCCCTGAAACAGAAATAACATAGAGGGCTTCCTTTTTTGTTGCAGACTTGGCTTCCGTTTGGTATGTGTAAGCAACCCATCACATGCGCCTGTCACAACTATCAACTTCTTTGGATTACCGGCCGGCATGCCACCAACACCAAACTAAGACTAAGATGTATTGAGCCGCTTTGTTTTGGCAATTGAAAGAACCACACACCTTGTGGGTTGTAGTACCCAAGCTAAAAAGCTCATTATATAGAATACACAAACGGAAGCTCTTTGCCGTAATACTCAGGCTCGACCTTGCAACCACCAAATCCCCCAACACCCTTGCGAAACAACACACAGGGAAGCACTTTGCTTGTTGTCAAAGAACTTGCGGACCAACTCAAAGGGAACTTTGCCTGTGCAATCCCAAGCATGTCAAAGCTCTTGCGAAACAACTCAAAGGAAACCCATGTTGAAACATTTTGCCTGAGGAGTGTTCCGACAAGCACAGCCCTCCAAACCACCGATATCTTTCACAGAGTACCCTTCTCGTTAGGGCTACGTTCTTGCGGGTTTGGGGCCCAATATATGCATGTATGTATTCAATCCAACTATGAGGGGCTTCCATTATTTGGTCCCACCGTGCAACCCTGCTGCAGCCCAGGCTCGCCCTGGCTCCTTCGATGAGGCCGACCTTGGCGATTTGGCGCAATTTCTGAGGGGTGAGGTGGCTAGGGATGCATTTTCCCCGATTCCGGGGATTGCGTTTTAGGGCTGGGGGCAGTGGGGTTGATGGCGGTTGTTTTTGGTGCGTTAAATGGGTACACCGGAACCCCACATATAATGGGTTTGCGTTAAAAAGCGTTAAAAATCGTTAAAACGCGTTAAAAATCGTTAAAACCCGTTAAAACCCATTAGTCCACCTTTGTGGGGGATTTGGGCTTCTTGTGGGATCTTGGCATGGTTTGTGTGATACCTTCGACTTTGCTCCCCAGCCCATTTGCGTAATTCAGCTGTGGGCACTTCCTACGGAGTTGCAACTTGATGGGCCTCGGAATCCATGTGTGCGACCGGTTGCAACCAGGATTAACCCAATGTGTTAAGGGTGCACATCAAGTGGTTGATAAACCTCATAATTAGCATGCTCTCCACCCCAAAAGCGGAATTTGGGGCTCCCCAATGCTATGATTTTGGAGGGACCTGTGTTTAGTTCGGTGGTTGGCTACATTCCTAACATCCCACCCGCAAACAATAAATTTGGTTGTCCAGCCGTCCCCAACAGAACACAACTACACTCCCGACTCCCGCGTCCTGAAGCAACCGCGGCGGCTTGGTACTCGCACGACCAGCAGCGTTGACGCCTGGTGGGAAAATGGACCCGCGATGCAACTCTACAGTGGGTCTGCTGGGAAGTACTCCATTGTAGATTGGTAGTTGGATTGGATTGCATTGATAGCACATGCTTGCTCCAAACTGACCACATGTAATACTTGTTTAATAAACTGGCAGCACGAAACTTGATGCGGGTTCACGGTTTGGTGGTCGTTGCATTGTACCCATGAGACTCTGCGGCTGATTATGCCCCTATAGGCTTGGGACGTTGGGCTGTTCAGTTTCGACATATCGACATAGATTTGTAACTGCAAACAAACATGAATTTGGGAAAATGCCAAGTGGCCCTGAAGCATTGCTAGCAACGCAAACACGCTTGGTAGTTGCACGCAGAAACATATTGGAACCCACGACCTACATGATTGGGCCACACAGGCAACGGCATGTGATGCAATGACACCCCAACAAACTAGCTCAGGTGGCCGCTGTGGTGGTTTAAAGCAAAGAGTTTCAACGACTCCTGGCAGCCATTGAGTATGTCTCAAAACAATGCCTTCTGGTTCCACCAAAAAAAGGTACCACCGCCCCGAAAAGTGTTATGCCAAGCCACTCCTGGGTCCTGGGGGCTACTTGTAAATTGAGGGCGCTGTTTGGTTAAACAAACAATGTTTCTCGTGAGCGGAACCGGTTGCCAGCGGCACATGCAAACAACAAGTGTTGAGGGGTCTATGACATGATCAGCATTTTTGTTTGGGTACGTCGTGTGCGGTTGTGCTTGGATGCATGTGTGTTGTACGTGATAGCGTGCTGATTAGCTGATTCGCATAGCATTTTGGCAGAGGGTGCATTTAGATTAGCTTCGGCGTCATGAGCCCCAAGAAGCGTGCGCTGGTGCCAAATGATCTGCAACAGAAGATCAACGCAGCACGGGCAGCTCACGCAGTGAGGCCACCCGCAAGTCCGGCACGCAAGTGCGCCAAGGCCGCGCCACAGCCACCGCCAGCATCAGCCACCGTGCCTGTGCCTGGCACCACGCCGCAGCAACCGCCCCCTGGCACAACGCCACAGCAGCCACCACCTGGCACCACACCGCAACCGCCACCAGCCGCAACAGCACCTGCGCCTAGCGCCACGCCACACCAGCTACTTGGCACCACGCCACAGCAGCCACCTGCTGCGACAGAACCAGCTGCGACAGCGCCGCAACAGCCACCGCTAGCAGCACCTGCACCTGGCACCACGCCGCAGCAGCCAGCCGTGACTGCGCCTGCGCCTGGCACCACGCCGCAGCAGTCACCAGCCGTGACTGCGCCTGCACCTCACACCACGCCGCAGCAACCACTTGGCACCACACCGCAGCAACCACTTGCGCCAGACACCAGCCGTGACTGCGCCACGCCGCAGCAGCCACTTGGCACCACGCCGCAGCAGCCACTAGGCACCACACCGCAGCAGCCACCAGCCGCGACAGCGCAGCCGCCGCCGCCGCTAGCAGCACCTGCGCCTGGCACCACGCCGCTTGGCACCACGCCGCAGACCACGCCGCAGCCAGCAGCCGTGACTGCACCTGCGCCTGGCACCACGCCGCAGCAGGCGCTTGGTTCCACGCCGCAGCAGCAGCCCGCACCTGGCACCATGCCGCAGCATCAGCCACCTGTGGTATTGACATCACTGGAGGCACCTGCACCTGGCACCACGCCGCAGCAGCCCGCACCTGGCACCACACCGCAGCACCAGCCACCTGTTGTAGTGACAGCACTGGAGGCACCTGGCACCACGCCGCAGCAGCAGCCCGCACCTGGCACCACGCCGCAGCAGCAGCCCGCACCTGGCACCACGCCGCAGCAGCAGCTCGCACCTGGCACCACGCCGCAGCATCAGCCACCTGTTGTAGTGACAGCACTGGAGGCACCTGCACCTGGCACGGCGCCGCAGCAGCCGCCCGCCGCTTCAGCGCCTGCGCCTGGCACCATGCCACAGCCAGCAGAAGCCACGGCAACGCCCGCACCTGGCCCTACGCCAGAACAGCCACCAGCCGTGGCAACACCCGCGACAGCGGCCACATGTGGCCATGGCACCACGCCGCAGCAGCCACATGCAGCACCCACACCTGGCACCACACCACAGCCACCGCTGGTCAACACGGCCACACCGGCCACACCGGCCAACACGGCGCCAAAACGATCGGTGGACGCGCTCACAGAGCCAGAGACCATCGCGGACAGCCCGCCGCGGAAGAAACAGATTCGCAGCCGCGACAGCCAAGAGACCCTGCGCCTGGGGTCTGGATCAGATCTGGGAGGAGCCATCCGATCATCCGAAACACGCAGCATAATTGTTCAGTATATATATATATAATATAAAAAAATTGCTGATTCGCTGCATCCGCTGACGATTTGCATGTTGTTTTGTTTTAGTAGTACCTGATCTCATGATACTATCTTATTGATGCCGGCGGTTTTATCATTTCGCTGTTTAACGTTTTTTGGGTGGTTGGTTGGGTGGTTGGTTGGCTGGCTGGCTGGTTGGTTGGTTGGTTGGTTGGTTGGTGGATGGGTGGGTGGTTGGTTGATGGGTGGGTGGGTGGGTGGGTGGGTGGGTGGGTGGGTTAGTTGGTTGATGCAGTATTGTTGTTGAATGGTTGCTGGAGTGTTATTGTTGTGTTTGTTGGTTGATTGTTGTTGCATTGGTTGTTGGTTGCTGAATCGTTGTAGCACATGTTGCGTTGCTGGTTGTTGTTGTATGTGTATTGTGTACTGTTGGTTGTGGGTTGTGGGGTAGTAGTGTGTTTGTTTGTTTGATAGATTGGCTGGTTGGGTGGATGATTGTGTGTTTGTGTTTGTGCATGTGCTTGTGCTCTGGTTGCGGTTGTTGTTGTTGTTGTTGTTGTTGTTGTTGTTGTTGATGATGATGATGATGATGATGATGATGGTGATGTTGTTGTTGTTGTTGTTGTTGTTGTTGTTGTTGTTGTTGTTGTTGTTGTTGCTGCTGTTGCTGTTGCTGTTGCTGTTGCTGTTGCTGTTGCTGTTGTTGCTGTTGCTGTTGCTGTTGCTGTTGCTGTTGCAGTTGCTGTTGATGTTGCTATTACTGCTTGCTGTTGACCTGGCAGGACTGGACGACACTTTGCACATGGAGGGCGCCTTGGCACGCAGCACATGTACTAACGTTGCGTAACATAGCCATCCATGTCGGTATGATAATGCACACATGTGTTTAAGTGTGTGTGTGTGTGTGCGCGTGTGTGTGTGTGTGTGTGTTGCAACGTCTACTGGTGTTATTGGCGAGAACCGCAACACACGCGCCCGCGCCGCGTATCGACATGTTGATGCCTGCATGGACATGAATGCGTATGCGCGTGTTCGTTTGCGCCTAGGTGTCCCGTCAACGTGCGCTGGCTGCAATCGCGTTTGTGGCGCGGATGGCTGGCTCCACAAGGACCCAATTAACCCATGCGTGCGAGCATATGTGTGTTGACGCCCTTTCTGCCGCTAGGAGACCATGTCGCACTACTGCTCTTCGAAGTGCTTGCTGTACAGCACCAGCGATGCTCAGCCTGAGACCATGTACCGGGCGGAGGTGGACAATTTGAACAAAGACTTGGAGGACGCCATTGACGCGCTTGAGGATTTCCACATCGACGGCGAGCCGCTGGGCGAGACGCAACTTGTGCCGGAGGAGACGCAACAGCCGGAGGAGACGCACCATATTGTTCAGGTGGACACGCAGGACACGCATGCGCAGCATCATCCAGATGCGCCGGTTCAGACACCTCAGCGGGCTGAGTCATCGGTGGCTCAGTTCTTCACGCCCGGCTACAAAGATACCACACCAAACCCGCAGCGGCCAGACCTGGCAAGCCACGCTGCGTGGACCGCGAAGGACGGCGCGCGGGGGGAGGGCCTTGCTACGAGTGCTGCAGGGGATGCTCAGCAGGGCACTGCGGGCGGCGGTCAGCAAAGCGCTACGGGTGGCGATCAGCATGGCGTCAAGCAGAAGGCTGACCATGAGGCGCGGAGTGGCATGTCATGTGTGTGTGTGTGTGGGTGTTTAGGGCGTAGTTTAGGGGATATGTTGCCATGTTGTGTCTTGAAGATGCATCTTTCAAAGGTGTGCAATATTGATGTCTAACCAAAACGACCCTGTTGGACCAATTTGGCCAATAATTATTTGCTCATATATTAGGTATGTCCTACCATGCCCAGGCTGTCAAGGAATTACTTCGAAGACCCTCAACCCGCAAGATTGACGAAGAAGGGGGTAACCCGCTTGCTACCTCGCCTGACACCGCTGCAACTGCGCAGGCTCCTGCGCAAGAATCGGAGCACGATCGATTGAGCCGTGAGGCTCACAATGACTACATGCGTTTTTACCGCAGCATCCGACTCTTGATTTGTGATTTGACACGTATATATTTACATTACAAACTATTTATGTTTGGTTTCGATCCATATTTGTCTAGAGGGCGCTGGACAAAGAAACCTTGACTCTCAACCAGCTCATGAAGCTAAACTCGCTTGAGAAAAACCACTTCTTAGCGAGGAGCAGTCGACGTGCCGAATGAGGTGGTGGAAAAAGCCTTCTCACGGGATCCCGTGAGTGGCAAGCTCAAATCCAAGGGCAAGCTCATGATGAGACAGCTGTACGAGTCCTTCTTGGGCTGCGCTGGCAACTGGCTTAAGAGCGACGTGGTTCAAAACGCGCGCAATTTCACAAGCACCAGAAAGGTGGGGCGGCACGTCTGGAAGAAGTTCTGCGAGCTGAAAGAGCTCCACGGTGAGGCCATCGCGACCGACATCCGCACTCACAAGATCGACGCTGGCAATTCGTGGCACCGCCCTCATCCAGATTGTCCGGAGAAAGAGGCGCACTATTGTCTGTCTTTTCTGGAGGGGGGGCTTTAAACCTTTTTTTTTTGAAGGGCCACAAAGGATGCTTTCCTAGCACCCGCTGACAATGCGAGTTGAATAGCGCACGCATGTTCTTCGCCGGCAGGAGTGGCACCTCTTCAAAGTCTGGGACTCTGCTTCCGAGAGCACCGAGGAGGGCCACGACGAGGAGTACAACATCCGAACTGCTGTGGAGGCCAAAGGCGCAGGGGCGAGCGCGGCTGTGATGCTTGGCAATGCAACGGTCTGGTCTGCTTGTTTATCGCGTTTACCTTTTCGTTTGGTGCATGTGGGACTATCAGCGCATAAGAGAGAGGTAGAGAGAGAGAGAGAGAGAGAGAGAACCTTGCGGGTGCTATCGCTCAGGAAGGCCGTCTTGGAGTCCACCGCCGGCGATGATGAGGGAGCTGCACCAGGAGAAAATCCGACACCGGCGCCTACAGCGAAGCCCACGTCCAGACCGCGACCCAAGTCAGGAGGGGCCAAAACCCTGAAGCAGGATCAGCCCTCCTGAAAAGCACATCCGCCAAGATCACAGAGGCCAAAGGATGGCCCTTGAGGCTGCAGAACGCCAACGTGTGGCTCGTTTGCGCATGCATGCAACATTGATACATAGCTTTTTATGCACGAGACTAACAAGCACCCACAAATGATTAACACATCCACCCCCACACCGGTTACCCACCATCGATCGATATGTGCGAGCCGGGCGCCTGCAATGCCGGAATCAGGATTTCCTTAAAGGCCACAACACTCGGTTGGCTAAAGGGTGCAACCTTCAGAGGGTGCCTATTTGATGTCAAAGTTCATGAATTACACCCGGTTTTGTTCTGGGAGGAGGGTTGTCTCTCCGGCAAACTGTTTTGATACATATTCTGCTAGCGGACAAGAAGGGAAACCACAACTCGTGTTTTGGGGAGCGGAGCTTATTTTGTAGCAAGCTTAGAGGTGGGGTCTCCAAACCTAGCTGGTTTCTTTTTTGTGAAGGAATGTTTTTTTTGTCTGGGTGGGTCGCCAAAGGGCTGACGCCCATCGTACTTTTGGGACGGGTTGGGCCTCCTATTAGAGAGAAACATGGAAACACAACTCCTTCTGGGCGATGAAACACAAGGAACCCAACAGCATGGTTGTGACACATATCGCCAGAGGAGCCCAACACTTGAGCCACATTGAATCCGTCACTTTCTCCAAGGCCTCAGACTACAATGGAGGCCTTGGTGAAGGATGTGGCCGTGCCCCAAGAGGCCTTGCAGGTGGCCTACGCGGCTTTGGAGACGAAGGTGAGCTCGGGCGCACCTGACGCTGAGCTGAGTGAATGCATCGGATCTTTGAAGGCTGTGTGCGAACAGTATGCGGCCACTGTTTCCTGCCTCAAAAAGTTTGTGAAGCCCAAGGCGGCTGCAAAGGGCAGGGGCAAGAAATGATCAAGCCAAGGGGTGGTTGAAACCAACAGTACTTAAGGTGAAGTGAAGAACATGGCATCAGCTACCAATAACAAATACTATACAGGACAGTTTTGCATGCATTTGTTTTGGCTAGTCATCCCTTGAGCTTGCTCGTCGCGCCCTTTCCATGAACAGTGACCCGATCCAACACGTGCGGTTCACAGTGTGCTTGATTTTGCAAAATTGGGCCAAACCACATGTTGGTTCCAATCATCAATTTAGATGCACATGGCGGAGCTGGTCCGTTGCAGGTGGAGCGTTTCTTCGCCGCCTAAACATTTGGGCTGTAGGGGTGCAGGCCAACGCATCAAACAGTCCAACCAAGTCCAATCGATTCGCAGTGCTTGTGTTTGCCGAAAAGCCTGCGAGGGGTTGCAGTCCAAATGCAGTGGCGAACTACAACTCCCTGTGAATAAGCATTAGCTCTTGCAATTGCGTTCAAACATCCGGACATCGTGCTGTCGTGGCCAAACAATCCGTAGAGCGCTTGCGACATACCTTGCATCATGTTCTACTGAGCTTGGAGGTCAAATGGTCAAAAACATGTTCATGACATCGTTCATGGTATGCGTAGTGTCACTGCCTTGTTTTGTAACATGAAAAGCATGGAAGAATTACACATATCCCCGGTTGTGTGTTCAGCCCCAACGCAGGCAGCGACACGGACGGGCTCATCCAGCAACGGCTTCTTGCCGGAGCAGGTGCTGGCGCGCCCTGCCTGCAGCAAGTCCGCTGCTGTTGAAGGCAGCGTTCTCATACCAGTGCACCTCAGGAATGGAGCTGTGTTGCTGTGCAAGATCTGGCACATTGCATAGCGCTTGCCTCTGGGTTGCCATTAGACAGCAGGTTCAACGATTGTTAAACCCATGTGGATGTTTTAGA